TTTGGGGAGGGGGCACAGGGGGTTGTCCAGGGGCCCACCTTGTGCTTGGTCATGGTGCTGAAGTGGTTGTTGCGGAAGAAGACGCCCAGCTCGCCCTCGGGAGCCGCGGCCGTCAGCTCGCACAGCCCGTGGTAGCTGAGCTGCGACGCCGTGGCCTCCAGGAACTGCTCGGCCACCAGCCCTGCGGGGACATCCAGGGCAGGGCAGCGGGGCTGGGGGGGTCCAGCTCTGCCCCCAGGGACCCCGGGGAGGGGCTGGAGGGGCCGTTACCTTCGCTCACCAGGCTGGAGTCGGTGGCCTGTTTGCAGGTGATGATTTTCTCCACCAGTTGGTTGTAGCTGAGCTTGCCCACGGCCTGGACCATCTCCGGGCTCTGCAGGGAGGGCAGGGAATGGGGGTGAGCTCCTGGCTTCCAACCTGTGGCAGTCCAGCTTGAAGTTTCCCCGTCACAGGGACATTCCTGATGGTTTTCCACCATCACGGAAGGGTTTGGGATGGGAGGGATCACCTGGTCCAACTTCCTCCCATTAATCGTCCATTAGCTCGGGTTTAAAGCCCCATCCAAAACATCATGGACAGGTTTGGGTCAGGACAGGACTTTCTAGGATCATCCAGAACCCCCGTGCCACGGGCAGGGACACCTTCCACAGCCCAGGTTGCTCCAAGCCCCGTCCAACCTGGCCCTGGACGCTTCCAGGGATGGGGAATCCACCTCCAGCTTGGTGGCCTTGTCCAGGATTGACCCCGAGCCCTCAGAGCAGAGGTTCTGCAGCCCTTGGATCATTTCCTTGGCCCCATGGAAGCCACCAGCTGAGGGGGGATGTCCTCACCTGGGGGTCCACCAGCCAGCCGTGGTAGAGGGGGATGTTGAGGAGGTCGAAGACGATGCACTCGGGGGTGTACTCGAAATCCGAGACCCCCGTGAACCTCACGTTGACGTCCAGCCCCGTGGAGAGCTTCGGGAGGACGGTCATGGTGTCACTGATGTTCTGGGAGGGAGGAGGAACGAGGGGGGTTTGCTCCTGAGGAGGGAACCCCCCAAGTCCTGGAGCTGACTGTGCCTCCCAAGAGGACGGGGAGGGGTCAGTGGTGGGGTTGGGTGACCTGGGGTGCTGCTCCTCACCTGCTGGAAGTTGAGCTGGAGTCCCTCCGATGTCTCCCGGGGTTGGGTGGCCAGGATACAATCCCCTGGAAGGCAGTGGGGTCACCCCTGGCACACCCCCAGCAGGGCAAGGGTGGGGGGGTCCAAGGGGAGATCCCACTCCCCCATCCCCATCCCAGGGATTGGGGCAGGAATGTGGGGGTGCCAGGGGAGCCCCCCCTGCCCCATCCCCATCCCAGTGGCAGGACAGGAGTGTGGGGTCCCAGGGGAGCCCCTGCTGCCCCATCCCAGTGGTGGTTCAGGAGTGTGGGGTCCCAGATGAGCCCCTGCTGCCCCATCCCAGTGATGGGACAGGAGTGTGGGGTCCCAGGGAGCCCCCGCTCCCCCATCCCCATCCCAGGATTGGGGCAGGAATGTGGGGGTCCCAGAGAGCCCCCAATCCCTCACCCCTTTCCCAGCATCAGGGCAGGAATGTGGGGGGCCCAGGGGAGCCCCCGCTGCCCCATCCCCATCCCAGTGGTGGTTCGGGAATGTGGGGCCCAGGAGAGCCCCTGCTGCCCCATCCCAGTGATGGGACAGGAATGTGGGGTCCCAGGGGAGCCCCCCCTGCCCCATCCCCATCCCAGTGATGGTTCAGGAGCGTGGGGGTCCCAGGGGAGCCCCCCCTCACCCAGATGTGCCATCAGCTCCTCGTCCGTGATCACCTCCTTCTGCGGGGGCAGCTTCACCTGGAACAGGGGAGGATGGATGAATCCCACCGGGATTCAGGGAGAGCCGGGGCCGAGCCCCCCCCCAGCCCCAGGTGCCCCCCCCGGGGTCCCCCCTCTTGCCTTCCAGCGGAGCAGGAGGACGTTGATGATGGCCAGGAGCGGGCAGGGCCCGTTCTCGCTCTGGGTGATGACGGGTGTTCGCTCCCCCTTCCAGCGGATCCACTTGACGCAGTAAAACTCTGCCCCGCGCGGGGCCCGGGGGGGCTCAGCCGGGCTGGGGGAGGACCCCCCGCCCTCCGGCTCCCCCCGAGGGTCCCCCCGAGGCTCCTCCTGGCAGGAGGGGGCTCTGGAGGCATCTCCCGGCTCCTCATCCCTGGAATCTCCATGGGTTGGTGCCGGGCTCTCCCGGCCCACGGCGGGGGTCCCTTCTCCGGCTGGAATTGTTTCCTCCTCCGGGAGCTGGGGGGGCCCTTCTCCGGCTGGAATTGTTTCCTCCTCCGGGAGCTGGGGGGTCCCTTTGCCGGCTGGAATTGTTTCCTCTCCCAGGAGCTGGGGGGTCCCTTCCCCAGCTGGAATTGTTTCCTCCTCCGGGAGCTGGGGGGTCCCTTCCCTGCCGGGAGAGGCCGCGAGGGTCCCTTCCTGCTCCATGGGAAACCCTCCCCTCGAGCGGGTCCGGATCAGGGTCCTGGGAACGCTCCGGGTCTGGCCGGGAACAGCCACATCCCAAATTTCAGCCTTAGAGAGAAAAAATTGGGAATTTCAGGAAAATGAAATAAATATGTGTAGTATAGATATAATAAATATGTATTGATGTAATTAATGTAATTAATGTGTTAATATAAAATATTATATGGCAAAATAATATAAATAATAATATAAATAATAAAATATATTTTATATTTTATATATTTATATGTAATATATAAATATAGATGTAATATATAAAAATAATATATTATATATAAATATTATAATATATGAAATATAGTATATGAAATATAATATATGAAATATAATATATAAAATATAATATATAAAATATACATCTAAATATAATATAATATAAATAACACATCAAATAAGTAAATAAACACATTAATACAAATGAAATATTACAGACACATAAATAAATAGTCCTGACAGATGAACACATAGAGAGGTGAGCTGATAAATAAAGAGTATTATTAATCAAATAAATGAGAGGAAAATGTTTTGACAGGTAAGCAGATGGATAAAATAAACCGGGTTAATAATTAAGTAAATAACCACGTAGACACGTTCTTTGTAAATCGCCAGAATTGAAATGAGATACAAACCAACTAAATAAAATATGAAGTGACGTAAACTATAATATAAAACAACGAAGTGACATAAAATAAAGAAAAATAAAGCGAAATGAAGTAAAATAAAATAGAATAAAATAGAATAAAATAAAACAGACTAAAATAAAATAAAGTGGAATAGAATAAAATAAAATGGAATAAAATAGACTAAAATAAAATAAAATAGAATAAAATAAAAAATAAAATAAAATAAAAAAATAAAATAAAAAAAATAAAATAAAACAGACTAAAACAAAATAAAGTAGAATAGAATAAAATAAAATGGAATAAAATAGACTAAAATAAAATAGATTAAAATAAAATGAAATAGAATACAGTAGAATAGAATAAAAAATAAAATAAAATAAAATAAAAATAAAATAAAATAAAATAAAATAAAAATAAAATAAAATAGAATGTAACCAACCCCGGGGAAGGCGCTGGGGTTGGATTTCCATGGGATGAGTTTCCCAGCCCTGCCCCGCCCGGGCTGGGGCCGGACGGACCGGCCGGGCCGGGGCCGGGGGGCTCAGGGCGGGGTCGGGGCGTGGCCGGGGGGGGCTCAGGGTGTGTCCGGAGGGTCTCGGGCTGTGTCCGGGGGTCTCGGGGCGTGTCCGGGGGTCTCGGGCTGTGGCCCCGCCTCAGTGTCCCCTTCCGGGGTCACCCCAGGACCCCCCCAACCCACCCCCCGACCCCTCCCACCCCCCCCCAGCCCCTCCCGGCGCTCGGGATCCCGCTCCCACCTTCTTTTCCTTCTTTTTACTCCTTTTGCCTTCCTTACTCCTTGGTTTTCTTCCTTTTTTTCTCCTTTATTCCTTGTTTATCCTCCTTTTCCCTTATTTTCCCTTCTTTTTTTTCCTCCTTTTTTCCTCCTTTCCCCTTGTTTTTTTTCCCCACTTTATACCTCCTTTTAAACCCTTTTTACCTTTTTCCTCTTTTATTCCTCTTTTCTCCTCCTTTATCCTTTTTTCCTTCTTTCTCTTCCTTCTTCTTTTTCTCCTGCTTTTCCTTCCGTTTCCCCTTCTCTTTTCCTCTTTAATCCTCCTTTTCGCTCCTCGTTTCCTCCTCTCTTCCTCCTTTTCCCTTTCTTTTTTTTTTTTTGCTGTTCCTTTTCTTTTATCCTTTTCCCTTTCTTTTTTTCCCCCCTCTTTTCTCTTCTTTTTTCCCTGTTTTTCCCACTTTTCCCGGCTCCACAGGGGCCTGTTTTCCACCTCCCGCCGCCCGCCCCGGCTTTTCCGCTGGGAAGGCGGATTTAGGGCGGAGGGAGGAGGAGGAGGAGGAGGAGGAAGAAGAGGATTAAAGGTGTAATTTTGGGGGTGTAAGGAACGTCGGGGGGGGACGGGAGAGTTTTGGGGCGTCCGGAAGATTTTGGGGGGGTTCCCCCTTGGGCCCCCCCCAGCCGCGGGGGATGCCGGGAAGGGACACGCCCCTTTCGTGCCACGCCCCTTCCCGGCAGCCCCCGCGGCGCGGGTGGGGGGGGGGGGGGGTGTACTGGGCTGTGGTGGGCTGGACTGGGTTATACTGGGCTGTGCTCGGCTGTACTGGGCTATAGTGGGTTGTACTGGGCTGGACTGGGCTGGGCTGGGCTGCGCTCGGCTCTACTGGGTCATTTTGGGCTGTACTGGGCTATAGTGGGTTGTACTGGGCTATAGTGCGTTATACGGGGCTGTACTGGGCTATACTGGGTTATAGTGGGTTATACCGGGCTGTACTGGGTTATAGTGGGTTATACTGGGCTGTACTGGGCTACAGCGTGTTATGCTGGGCTGTGCTCGGCTCTACTGGACTGTACTGGGCTGTAGTGGGTTACGCTGGGCTGTACTGGGCTATACAGGGCTATAGTGGGTTATACTGGGCTGTACTGGGCTATACTGGGAGGGGCCGCGCGGGCCGGCGCCGTGATGGAGCGGTTCGTGCGGGGCAACCGGGCGGCTCTGCAGGTACGGGGGGCTCGGGGGGGGGTCAGGGGGGTACGAGGGGTTTAGGGGGGCTCTGGGGGGGTCAGGGGGGCACGAGGGGTCTGGGGGTTCGGGGGGGTGGGAGTTCAGGGGTCTGGGGGTTCAGGGGGTTCGGGGGTCTGGGGGTTCAGGGGGTTCGTGGGTCGGGGGGTTCGGGGGGTTCGTGGGTCTGGGGGTTCAGGGGTCTGGCGTGTGGGGCAGTGGGGGGGTCTGGGGTGCTCAGGGCTCTGGGGGTTCAGGGGAGTGGGGTGCAGGGCAAAGTGGGAATTGGGGTGCAGGGGGTGCCGTGGGGGGCAGAGGTGCCCAGGAAAGTGGGGTGCAGGGGGTCTGCATGGCCAGGGGACTGGGGTGCAGGGGGTCTGCATGGCCAGGGGTGCAGGGGAGTGGGGTGCAGGGGGTCTGCATGGCCAGGGGTGCCAGGGCAGTGGGGTGCGGGGGGTCTTGCATGCCAAGGGGAGTGGGGTGCAGGGGGTCTGCATGGCCAGGGGGATGGGGTGCAGGGGGTCTGTATGACCAGGGGGATGGGGTGCAGGATGTCTGCATGGCCAGGGATGCAGCTGGTCTGCATGGCCAGAGGAATGGGGTGCAGGGGGTCTGCATGGCCAGGGGTGCCAGAAGTGTGGGGTGCAGAGCTCTGCATGCCCAGAGGTGTCAGGGGAGTGGGGTGCAGGGGGTGTGGGTGCCCAGAGAACCAATCCCCCCAAGGGGGGTGCACCCATCTCCCCTGGGGAGAGGGGCTGCTCCCTCCACAGCCACACCAGGGACACCCCAAACCCTTTTCCTGGCCGAGGGGCTCCCCAGCACCCCCTCCCCACCCCCTGCAGCACACGGGGCGCGGGTCCCCCCGACCTGCTGCTCCCGGGGCTTTATTTCCTGGGCTCCTACAGAAGCAATGAGTGAATCTGGGTCATGGCAGACATGAGATTGTCCCCAAAAAACAGCCCAGGGCTGGGGCGGCTCCCTGGAGTGTGACAGGCACCCGGGACGGGCGCTGGGGGGAGTGACATGTTTTTCTTGCTGCTGCAGGCGAGAAAAAAAGGGGTGAAACATCATGTTTTGGGGAGGGGGGGAACAACCAGCCCCAAACTCACCATTTCTGGGAAAAACGGGTTAAAATACTAAATGCTGCCAGGGCTGTGGGGGTGGGATGGTCCCTGTCCCCACGGTGGGCTGAGGTGGGTTTTCCTGTTCTCCCCGGAGCCCCATTTCACACACATACCCAAAAACCTGAGGGTTTAGTGCCAGAAGTGGATCCCGGGCCCGTCCAGGGTCGCCAGGAGCCCGCCTGGTGGGTGGAATCTGTGGGTGACATCGGTGATGAGTGGCTCCAGGGAGGCTGGGGTGACCCCTCGAAGGGGAAGGGAGGGGTCTGGGGGGTTTTTGGAGGATGGGGAGGCATCGCTGCCATGCCTGATGTGTCCCATCCCGGCAGGATCACATCCAGCACCACCGGGAGGTCCACGTGGTGATGGGCAACGAGGCCTGTGACCTGGACTCCACGGTCTCGGCACTGGCCCTGGCCTATTTCCTGGCCCAGGTGGGTCCCTCCCGCCGGCTCGGGGACGGGGTGGCCCGGGGGACACCTCACGGGGTTTCACCCCCTCCCCCTGCCCCGCAGAGCTCCCCGGCCCCCAGAGCCGCCTTCGTGCCGGTGCTGAACATCCCCCGCGCCGACTTCGCGCTGCGGACGGAGACGACGTTCCTGCTGCGGGATCGCGGCGTCCCGGCCGCCTCCCTCATCTTTCGGGATGAGATCGACCTGGGGGGGCTGCACCACGCCGGGCTGCTCTCCCTGACGCTGGTGGATCACCACGTCCTGCCCGGGTGAGCTGGGGGGGTGACACAGGGACACCCGCCCGGAGCCCCGCGCTTTCCTCGCTTCGCCCGGCGCGGCACGGCTCGGATTTATCCCTTTGCGGGGTGTTTTTAGGGAAGGAGAGGAATACGGGGGCTCCCGGGGCTCTGCCGGGGGGTGACCCCTCCCCGTGTCGCCCGGCAGTGCCGACGCAGCCCTGGAGGAGGCCGTGGTGGAGGTGTTGGACCACCGGCCGCTGGAGCGGGAGCGGGGCCCGCCGTGCCGGGTGACGGTGGAGCCGGTGGGCTCCTGTGCCACGCTGGTGACCGAGCGCATCGCCCAGGGCCCCCCGGGGCTGCTGGACAGAACCACGGCCGCGCTGCTGCACGGTGAGGACGGGGGGTCCGGCCCGGCCTCGGCTGAGGGGATGATGCCAACACATCCCCCCTGTGTCCCCCGCAGCCACCATCCTCCTGGACTGCATCAACCTGAGCCCGGCCGCCGGCAAGGTGACGCCGCGGGACGTGGCGTGCGTGGCCCTGCTGGAGGAGAGGTTCCCCGAGCTGCCGCCCCACGACAGCGTCTTCGGGGCCCTGCAGGCGGCCAAGTTTGACGTCTCAGGTGCGGTGACGCCCCGGGGGACCTGTGACACTCCAGGGGACTCCCCCCATGGTCTCCCCGGGCGTGCCGGGGTCTCACGCCCGCCCCGTCCCCTTCCCAGGGCTGACGACGGAGCAGATGCTGCGCAAGGACCTCAAGGTGATCTCCAACGACGAGCTGGTCGTGGCCATCAGCGGCGTCTATGTGGACCTGGAAGTGAGGCTCGGTGGGGAGGGAGCCGAGGCGGGGAGCGGCACATTTGGGGACACGGCAGTGACACCAAAGAGCCTCTTCCCTCGTCTCCAGACGTTCCTGCTCCGGCCTGGCTTGCTGCAGGACCTGGACGCCTTCTGCCAGGCCCGTGGCTACGCGGGGCTGGTGGCCATGACCGTCTCCTTCAACGAGCGCCACGAGCCCACCCGCAAGCTGGCCGTGTTCAGCCAGTGCGAGACCCTCCGCGCCACGGTGAGCTGGGAGGGGGGGCCGGGCACCCTCGGGCCTGGTTTGCCCCAAACCCTCCTGATTTTGGCGCTTCCTCATAGCTGTGCCGGGCGCTGGAGGAGGCGACGACGCCGTCCCTGCACTTGCAGCCCCTGCCCAGCCCCTGGCCCTGCGTGGGCGCCTTCGCCCAGGGCAACTCCTTGGCCTCCAGGAAGAAGGTGCTGCCCATCCTGCGGGCAGCGCTGGGCGGCGCGGGGGCCGCCGGGGGTGCCGAGGAGGAGGTGGTGCCCCCGCCCACCCCCATGAACAGCCTGGTGGAGGAGTGTCCCCTGGCCCAGGCCGTGCCCCCCCTGTGCCCCCAGGACGTCCTGGAGCGGGTCAGCCGCATCGCCACGGGGCAGCCCCCCGGCTCCCCCAAATAACCTCTGTGGCTCCGGAGGGCTGGAGGAGAAGTTGGGGGTCCCTGAGTGGGCCCTGGGGGGGTGCCCGGGCATGGGGGGGGGTTGCAGCCACCTTGGTTAGAGCTCAGCTCCTGGTCCTCGGTGTGAGTTGTGCCCCCAGCGGGCTCCCCCCGCCCCCACGGGCCCCCAGGGTGGGTTTTGGGGGCAGCAGTTGCACGCACTTAATGAGGGCACTGGGGGGGGGTTGGTTTTTAACGAGTTCTTGATGTTCTTCCCTCCCCTGGAGGGCTGTGAGGGGGCCCTGGATGCAGGGTCCGGACACGCAGCCAGCCCAGGATTGTCACCCACGTTTTCCAAGGATTAAATTTCCCTTTTTCTTCCACTTTGGGCTCTTGGCTTTTATTCTGGGCCAGGTCTGGTGCTGCCCCACTCATGGGGGCCCCCCGCCCACTCCAGGGGGTGAAGCCCCTCTTTCCCTGGGCTGCAATCCCCCCCTGCAAACATGAAGCAGGACTAGACAAGCCCAGCTCTGCCTGGAGCATCCCAGGGAAGGGGAAAGGCTCTTGTCACCCAGCACAGGCTGTTCAACCTTTAATCCTAATTAAATGGCGCTAATTAAACTATGTACACCCGCGCCTGAATTTGGGAGCCTCCTGGGGTTGGGCCCTGTCCTGCCTCTGCAGGTGACAGTCCTGGGTGGAGGGGACCCCACCACGGCCCTGCCCCGACAGAGGCTGCTCAGGTGGGTTTTGGAGCTTAAAAAAAAGAACATATCCTAAAAAAAAGGGGGGGGGTTTGGCAGTGGTGGGAATGCCGGGGGAGGCACCGGAGCGTCGGGGTTTGATCCTGGTTTGGCACCAAAGCGTTGGGGTTTGATCCTGGTTTTGCTCCAAAGCACTGGGGTTTAGTCCCTGTTCTGCACTGAAGCACCAGGGTTTGATCCCAAAGCGTTGGGGTTTGATCCTGGTTTTGCTCCAAAGCACTGGGGTTTAGTCCCCGTTCTGCACTGAAGCCCCGGGGTTTGATCCCCGTTTTACACCATACCCTGGTTTTGCACCAGAACATCTTGGGTTTGACCCCGCTTTGGCACCAGAATGTCGCGGGTTAATCCCGGTTTTGCTCCTCTGTGCCATTCCAGGAGGCACCAGAGCCACCTCTGCACCCATTCCCTGGGGAAACTGAGGCACCACCACCAGGCAGCCCTCGGGAGTGGACAGAGGGAATCCCGGGGAGGTTTGGCACGCGTGGGCTGCGCCGGGCAGCTCCTGGCACGGTCCTTTCCGGGTGGGGCAGGAGGAGGGGGCTGCTGTCCCCGCCCCCTCCCCGTGTCACCGGCCCGATGCCCCCGGGAAGGAGGGATTTTCCGGGGGGGTGACGACCAGGAGTCGGCGGGAGCTGGGCGAGGCTGGTGCTGCATAAATACCGCGGGGCTCGAGTGCTCCAGGGCGGCCTCTCGTCCGGCGGGGGGGAGGCGGTTCAAGTTCGGGCTGAAAACGCCAGGAATCTGTGAAATCCCAGAGGTCGGGTTATGGGAAGGCAGGAGAGGAGGCTTCTTTGGGTGTCACCCGGTGCTGGTGCCTCCGAGGGGGGCAGTGGGTGCTGGGGGGGCCGTGGACTCACACGCTACAACACCCGGGAGTTGCTCCACTGTCGCTCCCGGCCGCCCTTGGATCGCATCTCCTGCACAGCGCCGGTCTGCAGGGAGGGGCTGTCACACGCTGTGCCACCCTGGCACCCACCCAGGACACCCAGGACCACGCAAGGGACACCCAGCACCCACCCAGGACATCCAGCACCCACCCAGGACACCCAGAACCCAACCAGGACACCCAGTACCCCAAAAGGGACACCCACCCAGGACACCCAGCACCGTGCAAGGGACACCCACCCAGGACACCCAGCTCCCAAAAGGGACACCCAGTACCCAACCAGGACACCCAGCACTCCGAAAGGGACACTCACCACCCACCCAGGACACCCAGCTCCTGAGAGGGACACCCAGCACCCACCCAGGACACTCAGCACCCCGAAAGGGACACCCAGCTCCCGAAAGGGACACACAGCTCCTGAGAGGGACACCCAGCACCCAACCAGGACACCCAACACCCACCCAGGACACCCAGCACCCCGAAAGGAACACCCACCACCCAACTGTGAGACTCCACCACCCAACCATGAGACCCACCACCCCAAAAGCAAGACCCACCACCCAACCATGAGACCCGTCACCCCAACAGTGACACCCACCAACCACGAGACCCA